AGAAAATAAGATTTCAGTAGATTAGAACTACTAGAGGTGGCAAAAAGGAGTTGGTGCTGAAGGAGGCAAACAAATGGTTAAATAAAAGAATGAAGAACATTTAAATCTAAGAAAATAAGGAATGAAAATGAGCAGTAGGAACACTGGAGACCTTGTGAGCTTATAGACTGTGAGGGAAGAAGATCTCTGTGAGACGTGGTAACAAAAGCAAGTGGAAGTCACATGTAAATACAAAGCTAGGATCTTAGACTTTGTTATAAGCCATAGGGGACAGTGATAGATTTTGTTTATTTCTTTGTCCTCGGCCTCTGCAAGCAGAATACATTTATATTCATGGTCAAATGATGTGAAGATTTGAACCGCTTTCATTCCACAATTTAATGTGATAGCCACATTGCCAATATCATAAATACGTATCCCATGTGTTTGTGTGCATGGGTGCGTGCATGTATGCGCGTGCTCGTGTGTGGGGGGGGGTAGGGGAAGAGTAGTAACTGTGTATAGCCTAGAAAGTAGAGGAGGGGAGGTGTTCTCCATTAGAATATACATTATACATCATAAGAAAGGGGCAAGTTCATAAGGGTCATGCAATGAGATCCTTACAAAACAAATTAGAAACCAGAAAATTAATTTTATCTAAATACTCAAGGGTTTATCAGTCAGAAACGGAGCTTTACCAGGTTCTGAGTCACAGGATTCATCCAGGTTCCTGGCAATTTAGCCTAGTGTCATTTGTTTTGACATCGAATACCTAGGGAAGTCAGCACTCTGCTCATGCCTTTCTGTTGCTGCCCAGCCCCTGCAGTTCTGCTGTCAGAGGAGAAGTATGACTTTTTCTGTAGCCACCTCTCACAACAGCAGGGCTTGTGTAAAAATTCACTGCTTTCCAGTGCAGAAACCTCATGAGAGCCTGAAATTCATCCCATAGCTGTTACCGGATGGCATTTCAGCGGCAGTGGGTTGACTGACAAATGGCATTTTTTTTTTTCCTAAAGCATTACTGAAAATAGTGAAAGATACATCATGATGACAAAGAACTGATGATAATTTGTAAAACTAGAAATTCTGGAAGTAGAATCATAGGACAATCACTTCCCAGTCAGTATAAAATTCTTACTCTTCCTTTTGCATCTGAAATTTTGCAAGTTTATTCAGCATACCTGTCCGTCTCCTTTATCCCACTTCTTCTCTGCTGTCCACACTTCACTATTTCTACTTCTTGTGTCTTTTTAAAATCATGACCATCAGACCATGCTCTTCCTCATTGTTATTTGAGCATTAGTCTTTCTGTTCTAACTCTGCTCAAGCTTTCCTCCTGTCTAAAATAAGTATTTTTCCTGTTTTCTGGAATTGTATTGTGGAGTGCATAGAATGTAATAGAATATTCTTCCCATTATGAAAGGCTAGATAGATTTTCGAAGCTCTTTTAAAAAACAGTATTTAAAGGAAGAGAATGTCTTACAATAAGATCGGCATTACATGTGCCTGAAAAGCTACAGAGAACACTGTTTCCCATGGTATAAACACAAGTCAAAAAAGAGAGAGCAACAGTGTGTGCGAGAGAGATTTTCTGTTTAAATGGTAGTAACATTACACAGCTGCCTTTTCACCAAGCCAATTTTGTAGGAAGGTTCTCTGTAATTGTCAAGAGAAAGGAATCATAATTTTGTGGTTAACTGGCCAGAATTATTTTGTCCTACACAATGTCAGCTGCTTTGTGGTAAATGATAATCACCAAGAACTTGGAAGTGTGAAAAGATTAGATATAGCACAATTTTCCTTCAAAGTAATAATATATTCTTAGATTAAATTTGCCATGTCATTGTTAAACGTTTAGTGATTACAAGCACAAACTAACAAATGAATTCATCCTAAAACTTGACGACACTACAAGATTTCTGTTCCTCTAGGTGTCTCAGTGATTACCCATGTAAAATATTCATTTTTTGGACAATATAAATAAAGGTTCCTGAAGTTGGAATGATGACACTTACTATGTCTGGATTTCACAGCTGAATATAGAACCACTTAAAGATGTAGCATAAGAAATCATTTCCAAGGATAAATAGGCCTCATGGGATGTTTATAATTTGTGTATAAAATGTTTAGAAGCATCTCAGAAATTCTAGTCTGCCTGTGTATCTTGGTCACTTTTAATGGCACCCATCAGAGTCCATGGGTAGTATTCATTAATCTCATTTACATGCCCTATTTCTAATAGATGTACATTTTTAATTCTGCAAGCCAACCAGTAAACCATCACTAATTTGCTGGAATAGTAATAGTGTAAGTGCCTACAATAGTGCCCTCGGAAATACAGATGTTTTTGTTGAACCCAACTTCTGTCTATTCCTGAATAGATGCTGGAAATAGTTCACTCTAACAGACATTTGTTCACATTGTATTTTTTCATTTGAGTTTATGTTCTGAGATATTTCTTTATGGCAAAAACTTTCAGAATCCTTTCTTTTTGAAATATTTGTATTGCTTTCTGCAGTCATTCTGTTGCTCACTTCTATCCCAGAACTTCTTGCTCCAATCAGGCAGTAAGTACCATGGATCAGCCTTTCCCCATCTCTCCCTTTCTGCTACTCTCCCTGACATCTGGTAACAAAATACCATTCCCAACTTCCATGAGATTGATTTTAGAGTACATGTGACTGAAATCATGTCACATCAAATTTAAGGGGAATTGCAGGCATTGTACCAAATAGTGTAATCATTTCATACATACAACATCCTTTTTGCCTGCCAATTTTTAAGTGATCATTTTCAGTTTTGAAGTGAATGGCAGAAATTTTGTAACTTTTAAAAGGAAATATGTACCTTTAAATCCATCTATAATGCACCATTCTCTCTCCTACACTTTTGCTCGATTTGTTCATAGGCTTGTATCTGCATCTTCGTTAGTCATCTCAATGTTTAATAAAACAAGGAAAATTTTATAGCTTGAGTGCGTTCTGAAAAAGAATGTTCTTTTTCTTTTTCTTTTCTCTAACATCTACATGTTTTAAGAGTTGGAAAGTTATCTTTAAGGAATGTAGTAGAACTTAAATGTCTTAAAAACTTAAATAGGCCTTTATATATATTATATAGATATAATATATGATAGAGTACATGAAAATGGAAGGGGGAATAAGGGAGTTGCAGATAGGGGAAGGGGTCTAAGTACAATCAAAACATAGTGTATGAAATTCATAAAAATTCAATTAAAATAAAAAGAATAAACTTTAGTGGCAAGGCCAAAAATTACAATAAAATACAATTTCTTTATAAAATGTTAAATAATTTTGGAAAGTAAAATATACTTTGGTAGGTGTTCAGTTAATATATGATTAATCAATAATTTGCTCTGCTTCCTAGTTGAGTGTTTTACTTATCAAAATAATAAGCTATGTGAGCCTGGTCTGTTTCATGTGGACAAATCACTTAACTTTTCTGGCACCTTAGTTTCCCAATGACTATAGTAACAGCTTATTCCATGGGCTGGCAAGACGATGCACATTAAACCCAAGGCAAAGCATGTAGCACATGAGTTTTCAAAAAGAGCAATTATTTTCAAAAGTAAAATTAAATGAGAGTTTGAAGGGAGTGTCTAGCAGTGTCCAAGTGATCCCGGAGATCTCATGTGAGATATGAACTGCAGAGACGTTCAGGACTCAACATGAGGCCTTTCTACCAGCTCGTGATGTATGTGCACTTGAAAAGATAATTTATTCTGAAAATGAATCAGACAATAATTACTGGAGTTTGCTTGGGAAACAAATTAAGCTGTGGGCACAATATTCAGGATCTCTGCGGTGTTGTCATTGTTTCCATTAGGTCTCTGTTTACAACCCTAATGGTCCCTTGTCCCTGGAAGCACAAGCAGCACTTGAGTCCCTCATGATAAGCAGCTGACTCTTTGCATTGCTCCTCCTCCACAAGGAAGACATGGGTTATGGAATGCATTTGATTCTCATACTTCCTTCAAGTTAAAAATCTGTTTCAAGGTACAAGGGACAGCGGTTTCACAAGCTCTTCAGCTGTCACCACTGCTGCACCAGAGTTAGCTCTTGACAGTCATAGTTATTGACTGTGTGCATTTACTAAGCCAGCCAATATTTTTAGCAAAGGGATAAACTTAGGCAGGATTTTCAGCTTCCTACACCCACTCTTTAAATGTCTGTATATTGCTAAAGGTTTTTTTCCAAACTGGGAAAGAGATCTTCCCTCTGATATTCTTTAAATGAGACATGTGTGTATGTGTACCAGTAAGGTGTGTTGAAGTTCAAATTATGTTGATACCATTGCTGTGTTCAAACCAAAGCACCCCTTTTTTTGTAGGAGCATGTATGATAGCAGAATATTCTGTGTATTAATGAACAAATGGGTATTCTGAATGCCACTTGAACTTCCTAGAACTAAGTTAATGGAGAATAAAGGGACAGAAGCTAAGCATGTTTCCACTGGTGCTTCTGCCTCACAGGCACTGGACATTCTGAGGCATAGTTAGCACACTAACCACTTCAGAGGCTATTTCATTATTCTATAACATTTTTTATTATTATTTTTTAAAGCCCATTTGACTTTAAAGTCTATGAAAATATCCCTGTTACTATCAAAGATTCCATACCAGCAGATAATTGGTGTTTGATACTAACTTGATTCATATCATTCCTATCGCATATTTTTTCAGACACTTTTTCTAGGCACCTCCAAAATCTGTATCTAGTTCTGGCACCAAACAATTAAAATACATTAATGATGGGTTGGAGAAGGTGCTTGCCTTAGACAGGCAAAGATTATTATTCATGTGGCCACTATACCTATCTTCATGTTGGTTGGAAGTATTTCACACCATCTAACTGCCTCTCATCACCAATATGCATAAACAGTTGAGAGAAGAGTTTTGCTGTATTTAAATATTGTTACCTTATATCAATGTTAAGGAAGCACATTGATACTTAATATAAATTACATGGATAAACTTGTTGGGTTGCATTATTATTTTATTTTAGCTACACATTGTAAGGACGATTCCATTTTTTCAAGTCCCGATGTCACCGATATTGCACCAAGCAGGAAGAGGAGACATTTAACACAGAAAAATCTTGGGATAGAACCAAAGATGGTTCCACAAGAGCACCAGCTTCAGGAAAAGGGAAAGTAAGTACTCCATGCTTTCTAAAATCATAATGCATTTTGTTATTATGTTATCTGAAAAATTATATTCTCTGAATTTGTTTATTCTAAATAATAAAAATTATTTGGAATATTATAAAATGTTTGATACAATACATTTTCTGTGGTACTTGGTAATTCCTATAAATATTTAAGGCAGAAATGCCAAAAATATTAGCAAATATTTTTTTCTTGTGCTTTTCACAGTTTAATTAGAAATGACATGTAGGATACTAAAAATATTAGATTCCGTCTTGTGCTCAGTAAAGTGTTTCATTCTAATTTATTGCTTAAAAGACCCCATGCAGCATTTCAATTAGCCACTTGACTTGGCAGTGCTTAGGTTTTTTTCCTAATAAAATTCCTCATTCTAGCCATCTTTTTATTTCAATTGAACTTTAGCATTATATTTTATTTTTACTGTTTCTCACTCTTTGTTTCAGACTGATTTCCATGAATCTATAGTCTAATGTAACTGTAATGAGTTGAGAAGTTAAAATATTTCATTACAGCAAAACGATGGGAATTTATAGATAATATTATCAGTTGAATTCTACATGTATGTGTAAATCATTAGAAGTCTGGCTGTACGTATATTACAGGTGTCTGTAAAGAGGACAGCTAAGGTTTTTAAGGTCCTTTGTTGGGAATCTATGAGGCCATCTCTTCTAGTCTATACATATGTGAGACTTAGATTTTCTTTTATATCTTTCACTTAATATAACATGTCATAGCTGATTGAATGCAGAAGCTAATGGAAATCTAGTTGTTCTCAATCAAGCTAGCCATCAGACAGATCTGCAAAAGCATAAAACAATATTGCCACAAGGTTTTTTTGTTTGGAAAATACAGTGACATTTCTTAAAGGATATTTTATTTGTGTTATGAACACATAATTTGTGTTATTTTGAAATGAAATAATATTTTACTGTTAATTATAAATATACCAAATGTAGTCCACATAAACAAAAATGTGGATATCAAAGTCTTGATGTGCTTAAGAAATTTTGAAAATGTAAAAGGACCCTGAGAACAGAACTTTTTAAATTCCCTAGGCAGTGGGGATGGAAGGGAGAGGCACTGGCAGTGTCACAGGAGCCTAGCAAGATGGCAAGTGGGCTTTTAAAATTCCTAGTATAAAAATAAGTATTACAGGTGATACAGTAGCTCTCTTCTGTAATCCTCAGCACTCAAGCAGAGGAAAGTAGACTGTGCAAGTTCAAGACCAACCTTTCTACACGGTGAGTTCAAGGCCAACTAGGCTACAGAATGAGATTCTATTCCTAAGTCCAAAGTATATCATCCTCAACCATCCCCCCTCCACTGCATCCTCCTCTCAAAAGAGGGGCACATGGGACATAGCAAAATCCCCAGGAATAGTGTCCCCTGGAGTATTGTTTTGTGATATATATTCAAAATTCTTAAATATCAGTGCTTTTACAACAAAAATTCCAACCATCAAGTTGTAATATTTGTAATTAAAATGAATTGTAAGAAAAGTGCACTTTGTTGTGTGTGTGGAATCTCCCGTGTTCCCTCCCCACAGTCCTACTATTTAGGAAGTTGTCTGCTTGGCCAACTGATGGTCCGTGCTGAGAGAAACAGGATCATATCCTTTGAGAATTGTAATTATAGTAATACATGTGAAAACCATTCAGCACCATGTCAGTTGCTGGACAAAACCATTAAAGCATTGAGCCAAAAGTATAAATAAACTCTTGTATAGTCTTTAGAAAATTTTATAGACATTCTTTGTTTCTATAGACAAGCAAGTAAAATATGTGTAAGTTTGTGTATTTCAGAGGCCCATAGAAATAATTTAGTCTTCTGTGTGATAAATGTCTTCTAAAAAGAGTTAAAACATGCTTTTCAAAAATATTGTTAAAATGTTTCGCAGATGTTGCTTCACAAACTGAAGTGAGAGAGTTTGAACTGTGTGTTCTGAGTTAACCTCACTGAAGTTTTCCATTAAGAAATTATGTAAGCTATTGTATTTCAGGTGAATAGCAAATGGTAGAATATTATTTTCCAATGTGATTCCATTTGTCAAATATTCAATTTTCCCTTAGTCCTCATAGTCTCTCATTCCCAGCTGTGTGAGCCAGACTAGTGGCTCGCGGTTTCTGTTGATTCTCCTTTCTCCACCCCCTGTCTCTCTGTAGGCATCCTCTGGATTTACATGTATTCTATAAGGTCCTCACACATGTGTAGCAAGCACAATACCCACTGAGTCACCTCCCAGACCTATACTTCTTCCTTGGTTTGTATAGTAATTTGAAAAATATTAAAGGGCTAGATTAAAATTTTTTTTTCTCTATTTGAGAAAGGGTCTCCCTATAGCCCCAGCTGTCCTGGAACTCACTATGTAGACCAGGCTGGCCTTGAACTCACAGAGATGTGCCTGACTCTGCCTCCCAAGTGCTGGGACTACAGGCGTGCGCCACCATGCCTGGCTTAGGTTAATTTTTTTTAAAGATCAGGGAAAAGGTACTGTTTGTCTCTTTGCTTTTAGAAAGGGAACTTCCCTGGCCAACAACTCATAGGAAGGTTTCTCTTGTCTTGGTACTGTGATTTTCGTTATATAGCATTCAGCTCTACACATGTACTCTCGTGTGTGTGTGTGTGTGTGTGTGTGTGTGTGTGTGTGTGTGTGTATTTTTCAGTAGATTTATAAAATAATGGAATACCTAGACCAACAGGAACATATATTGGTTGCTCTTTTCATATTTTTTCAGAATTTTTCCAAAGAGTCTAAAAATTTAGACTTTATAAGTAAGTTTCCTTGGTGCTCTTTCAAAATCTACTTCATTTTGGTCATATGCAAATCATTTCAGTCAACAGGTAGTATCCTACTTTTTGAACTTTTTGTATTTTAACTGCCATAGAACTCATTTTACCTTTCGTATCTGTGTGCTTATTGTGAAAGTGTCTCCATATATCCTGCCTGGATTTTCCTCACTTCACCTCTGGATAGTTTAACCGCCTTGGTTTCTCAGATATTTATTGGAATTTCATCTTTAGATTTTTTTTAGTGGGTTTTGTTTGTTTGTTTGTTTGTTTGTTTGTTTGAGACATAGCCTCCCTGTAGCCACAACTGGCCTAGAACTTCAGAAGTAGACCAGGCTGGTCTTGATATCACAGAAATCTGCCTGCCTCTGCCTCAGGAGTGCTGGGATTAAAGGTGTGTGCCATCACGCCTGGTTTGGAATTACATCTTTTTTATTACTGTCTATAACATCAACTGATTTTCAATGGATAGCTTTGTCTCCTATTGCATTACTGGAGTACCTTATATCTTAAATATTAATGTTGTTTTCTCAGCTTGTGATTTGCCTTTTAGTCTTTGTAAATGACATTTTATATTTATGTAAGTTATTAAATTTATTCATAAATGGGGAAGATTATATCATTTTTAATATTTTTGTGTCTTAAGTATTAGACTAAAATATGTTTATGTAAGTATGTATATATTTCATTAGTTACCTGTACCTATTTCATAGATCTGAGCTCAGATCCAGACAGGTTAGTGTGCTTGCTCAAAATAAGTGATTTTCTGATTGTATCTTTCAGTCTAGGCTTACTTTATTCCAAGGATCATACTTTCTATTTACTATTTTACTGCTTCAATGCTAGCAATAATAACTAATATTAATCTGATTTCTCTGTGCTAATGACTATGCTAAGCAATTGAATTGCACCCCATTAATTCATTTAATTTTCACTGCACACATGTTCCTTGGGGCTCTGGTTTTGTTTTGTCATTTATATATTTGGAAAATAGCTGAAAAAAGTTGAATTTCAATGGAGCTCAACTGCTTGCTCAAAATTTCTGTAATAGGATAATGGAGATATAACTGCAAGCTCTGTGGGTTCAAGGATTGGTTTGATAATTTCTCCTACCTGTCTTCAAGATGGCTATGGGTCAGACTAGAGTCCTGTGTACTCTAGAAATATGATACCAGCTAGACTGGAACTCCCTATGGAGGCCAAGCTGGCCTCTATCTCACAGAGATCCACCACCTTTGCCTCCCAAGTGCTGGAATCAAAGGTGTGTGCCACCATGTCTGGCCTACTGATCCTTTTTTAAAGCAATCTCCTCTCTGGACATTTGACTAAATTTTGGACATCTTTTCTTGGAAAGGGAATTGTGTTTATGAAATTTCAATTCTAGAATAATTCCTTTTCTTGTAGTTCTTATGGAAATGATAATTATCTCTACCTCTTTTAAATTTACTCAGCAAAATACTCTTTTCTTCTCCTTGGTAATCCATGAGGTATTGTATTGGATGGAAATAACATGTTTGGAAAGCAATATTTTAAAAGTAGTTGATAAAATCTGATATATATATGCACAAATATATATATGCATATGTGAACATAGATATAATTACATGTGCCAATTTCAAATATAGTGCCTATTTTCATGTTTGCATTTGATTTTTTTTGAAATGGAGATTTTTTTTTTATATTTCATTTTTATTTTATGTGTATGAGTGTATTGCCTGCATGCGAGTGCACCTAAGTAGTGCAATGCCACAGAGGTCAGAAGAGGGCTTCGGGTTCAGGACAGTAGTAGTCACCATGTGGGTACTGCAAACCGAACCCGGATCCTCTGCAAGAGCAGTCAGTGCTTTTAACCACTGAGCCATCTCTCCAGCTCCTGCATTTGATTCTTAAAACTGCTAATGATGAATGGATTTTTTGAAATTGAATCTGAAACTTTTAAATATTTAATCTATACAGAACTATAATCATCAGATTCAACATGGAATTTTTGGTTTCTGAACTTTAAACTTCTTTAGTGTCAAATAAAGAACATGAAATTAATGCTGAATCACTATATATTTACTTTGGTCAATAAAACAAACTTCATTTTTTATAGTACTTTAATTTTACCATGATGTTTATGTTACTTGCAAAAGTAAACACAGTGGTGTTTTTTAAACAAGGCAGGTTTTTATTAGTTGCACTGTGTGTTTATCTAACTGTTCAGCCTGTAGCTCTCACTTTGCCTACTGCATATTTTGATTAATGGCCCCTTGGACTTGTTCCAGATCACACTGATTGTGGTCAGGGCACTCCAATGATGATTTATTAATTGTGCTTGCAAATTAAAGGAAGTAAGATTGGTCATATGTATTATTATGTTATGTGTTCACCAATAATCTCAGGGATTATGTTTTAAAATAAAGTTTTCCTGAATTTTTTTGTTGGTTTTTGGTTTTTTTTTTTACATTTTATGTATGCAGGAAGGACAAAATATTCATAAATTTAGCTTATACAGTATTAAAGCTTATACAGCTTTATGGCTTTTTAGAATATGACTGTTAAATGTATCAGAAAATTAATCTTGTAAGTACATGCAATTTAATTTCTCTTTTAATGGAATTTGAAGGTAATATATTTCAATAGACATTCAAAGGTACTTAAAAGTATATCTCCATGTTTGTAACACTAGGAACAACCCTTATTTATAACCCGAGTAAATGCATTCAAATTTCAACTTACTGACAGATTTGATTATAGTTAATAATGAATTTAATAGGAGTCTGATAATTTTTTGGATTTTCACATGCAAAAATGTTATCATACATGATATCCTTTTATCTTTTGAATAACTATAATATATAAAATTTCCCTAAATGTGGCTTGATAGTAATCATTTTTTAGCCATTATAACCATTAACAAAGATAGAATAATGTGTAAATCTTTATTATTCCTGCCCGGTAGGACTCTTGTTCATAATTTATAGTTCAGTATTGAAAATAGGTACCTTTTCATTATTTACTATGACATATTCAAATTTTATATTTTAATTTTACATAATAATGTGATTTATAGCCTAAATCATTTACTTTAACATATTATCTTTTGGTATTTAAATATTGTGAAATAAAATGCTGTGTCACTCTAAAACCAAAAGACATTACATGTTCTCTGAAGCATGAGTTAGCTGTGCTACAGTAAGAAGGTCCAAGCCCAAAGTAACTGACACACTGGCAAACAGAGTAGGTAAGTCAGCCTCAAGGGTGGACTAGCACCCAGCAACCTTAAGATATACAGAAGGCCACTAGTATTAGTCAGGATTCCTTTGCTTTGCTAGATCACTTGTAAATGACAGAGAATATGGACAAATTTTAAATATTTTTACAAAATACTTTAGCTACATTTTAGGACATATATATTGTTAAGATCACTGGCTGCTCTGCAAAAAACCTGGGCTCGAATCCTAGCATGCAC